GAGACATAGGCAGAGGGAGAAGCAGGCTCCATGCACCGGGAGCCCGACGTGGGATTCGATCCCGGGTCTCCAGGATCGCGCCCTGGGCCAAAGGCAGGCGCCAAACCGCTGCGCCACCCAGGGATCCCGCACCACATCTTCTTTATCCATTCATCTGTCTATGGACACTTGGGCTGTTTCCATAGTTTGGCTATTAGAAATAATGCTGCAATAAACACAGGGTGCATGTATCCCTTTGAATTTTTTTTTTTTATTTTTTTGGGGTAAATAGGCAGTAGTATCACTCCTCAGTCATAGGATAGTTCTGTTTTTAATTTTTTGAGAAATATCCATGCTGTCTCCACAGTTCTTGCCCATTACTTAAAGGATTTATCTATATTTTTCTTCTTGATTTGTAGGACATCTTTATATATTCTGGAGAGAAGTGCTTTGTCACATCTATGCATTGTGGATATTTTCTCCCAGACTGTGGCTTGTCTTTCATGTTCATAATCAAATTCTTAAATAAGCAGAAATGTTTAATTTTGATGAAATCCAATATATCAATTTTGTATTTGATGATTAGTGTACACTCTCTAAGAAATGTTTGCCCACCTCAAGGTCTCAAGGATACTCTCCTCCATTTTCTCCTAGAAATTTTTTAGTTTTAGCTTTTAAATTTAGGCCTGCAATCTACTGTGATTTAATTATTGTGTGTGTTGTGAGGTGATGGTCAAGCTGTATTTTGCTTGTGGGTATCCAGTTGTTCCAGCCCCATTTACTAAAAAAAAGACTTTCTTTTCTCCATTAAATTTTCTTGGTGTCCTTGTCAAAAGTCAGTTGACCACTGTGGTGGCCTGAATCCCTGGGACTTGGTTGTTTAGGTTTTTTTTTTTAATGCTTTTTTTTTTTTTACCCTCAGTTGGGTAATTTTATTGCATTATTCCATTCCTCCATGTCAGTATCCTTTCTTCTATGTTATCCTATCTATTCATACTATTCAATGAATTTTTAATTGCAAATATTTTATTTCCCAGTTATACAATTTCTATTTGGTTCATTTTTAGAATTCCCAAATCCTTCCTGAAATTCCCTCTCACTTCATCCATTATACCCATCTTTCTATTATTTTTATATTAGCTAATCTCATTATCGGGGTCACCTCTGAGTCTCTCCTGACTGGTGAGTTTTCCTCTTGAGCTACATGTTCTTGCAAGGAATTCCTTATTTGCACTGGACACAGTGGGCAGTACCCGCCAGCGACTCTAGATTCTATTATTTTCTTTTGAAGAGTGCTGACTTTGGTTCTAGCAGGCAATTACCTTGAGCCCATGTCACCTTGATTTGCTGAGACTCAGTTCTAGGCTTTGCTCCAGGATGTCTATTTTGATTTTCCTGTCATAACCCTTAGTCCTTGAATGTGGTCTTAGTCCTTCTGGAGTTTCAGTGAAAGGCTCACAAGTGTGTGCCATGTCCCTCTAATTTGGTAGGACTAGAATTCCTACTTCATCTCCCCAGCGCCAGGCAGCTGCTGGAACCCCTGTTCAACCCACTTATTGCTTTCTTCTGGGTGCCTTGGCATCTCACCTCACACACCTACCTCAAGACTCAGCCATGGGTTCTAAATAAGTTAGTACGCAGATCCTGAAGCTCATTCCTCTATGCAGCCCCCTTCTCTGGGACCTCCTCCCTAAATTCCCAAGCTGTGCTTGTAGCCTCAATCCCTAACATCTAGCACCTCAGTCCAATCGGTCTTCAGTTCTATCCCCAGGGTACCCTGAAGCCTGAGAATGTCCTTTGGGGGGGTGTTGTCCCTTCTTTTACTCCCCTCACTGCACAGGTTTCAACCACTCCAGTTTCTATCTGCTTTGATCACCCTCCAGTGCCTGAGAATGGCCATTTTTAATATTTTGAGTTTTGTAATTGTTGTCAGTAGGATGATTAGTTTGATATAAGCTTCATCTCCATTGCTAGAATCTAAAAGTCCTCTGGCACCTATTTTTAAAACCACCTGAAGTAGAGTTAATAAATCCCATGGTAGGAGAAAATTTATTCCATTGTTTGTCAATAAGTATCAGCAGCATTTCTCCTCCACAAGTAAAAGAGGAAATTGGTCTTCACATCCTCTTCCATATGGCACCTTATGAAAGGGCTTTTTACACCATCAAGCCACAAACATTTTCTATGCCCCCATGAGTCCATGACCCTGATCAAGGCTCTCTGGGGTATGAAAAGGCAACCGTAGTCCCAGGTCCCGGGAATGCTGTTTAGGCAGAGCTGCTCCGAGGGGCTAGCTAAGGAGGTGACACTGTGCAGGAGGACAGCCACCCTCAACTTTCTCCCCAGAGACACACGTGGCACATAATTAACCTAAGTGTGATGTCCTCCTACCAAAGTGTCTCTTTTGCGCAAAATTCCTGCCACTGGGGAGCACTCGGTGAGGTTATTACTATGGTAATATCACTTAGAGCAAATACTTTCCCAGACTTCAGCATACTTTACCAGGGACACATTTCACACCCACTGGGACTCTCCAGACCTGCCACCATAGCCACTAGGGAGCTATGTGTGCACCATGGAAAAAGGATATTTGGGAGGATGAGTCTGCCTAATAAGTAGAATGGCTTGAATTGGGACAATATAGAATGGGAGTGAGATGGCTCAGGACAACTTCAAAATATCATCCTTTAAAACTGTATTCAAATTTCCTGTTCACATGCCTTTTTGTGGTGAGGGGGAGAAGAATCCAGCTTTCATCACATTCTCAAAGTAGTTCACAATCCCCTCAAATTTAAGACTTACTGGTTTAGAACCCAGACTTTTTTATTACCATGAACTCAATCACTAAATATTTTTAAATACCCCCATAAATATTTGTATATTTATTTATGGATAAATTATCTTCATAATCTATTACCAGTAATTAGTAAATCAAGGAAAAATATCCACTTAACATGAAACTAATCATTAATGATAGGAAATGTAAATTCAAGTTTCATAGCTTTTTTTTTAGGTTTCATAGTTTCTGATAATCACTAACTGTTAAAAAAAATCACTAACTGTTCTCATCGAGTCTAATAACTTTATATTGAGGTCAACGAACAGCTTCTACTTGAACAAAGAAACATGTTTCTCATTTTCCTATTTGTGATTTGGGAGAATTATTTTTTTTAAGACTCTTTGAAATCGTTTGAAGCCATTGGTTTACTCTTTGAGTTTTAGCTAAAAACTAGCTTGTGTAATCCATAAATCCATTTAGCCTTGCTAATTCAAACAGATTAAAATACTCTGAAAATGATCGCCTGAGAGTGAATGACAGTGCCAGCACCTGGGAATACCTGTGCCTCATTGTGACATGAAATGTGGCCACTTAAAGTGAAGTTATGTATCAAATATTAACATGTAGGGGCTCGTGTCAAATTATGGGGTCATAATATCAAGTTAATATTTGACATGAAAAAAATTTGACATGGAACATTTTTATTTTTAGTTTAAAATACATATTTATAGAAGTTCTAGTATATACAGCTCTCCCTGTACCCCAGTGGATTGTCTCGTGCATGCCACCCTGGAGACCCCCAAGTCCAAGAAATGATTCACAACCAGTCATCCACAGGTGTGATACGCCGAGCCTGGTACAGACCATGGAGAGTCAGCAGAGAGGCAGAAGGGGGACAAAAACAATCAGATAGAGATGAAGGAAAGATTAAATCTGAGCTGAGGGGAGAAATAAGAGTCCCAAGATGATTCTAATGTTTCAACCCCAAGAGACAGGAAAAAGTAACTGGAAATGGTAAAATTGGGCTGGAAGGGGGTATCGGTCCAATGTTCTACTCCGGATACGCTGTGTACGAGCTGCTAAGGAGGGAACAGACAACGGCCAGCTGGCCCCTGGACACTCGCCAGTCGCCTCCCAAGCACGGGAGGTGGAGACTCTGACCTCAGCCAGCCTGTTCCCAGCATGATTTGGCTCCACGTTCTGCCCACGGTCTTTCAAGCCATCCCCGCGAGAGGCTATAAGTCGCCCCAGCCTTCTAGCTGTACTCCAGGTGGGGCCCTGCCAACCCACGTTCCTCGGAAGAGCAAGGCCAGAATACAAGTAAAAGAAATCTGGGGCAGAACCACAGGCAAGGCTTGCTCAATGGACCCGAGTGAGTCACCTCTCAGCCCACGTGACCTCCCACGGAGAGCCGCAGGCTGGATGGCACCCCCAGAGGCGCTCATTAACTTCTTCCTCCAGCCAGCCCACGGGCTTGCCTAATGAGGTCCCAAACAAAGGGAACACTGGGCGGAGGGTGGAAATTCCACGTGGGCTCCACTGCGGGGTACCCCTCACCGAGGTTGCCCTGGCTACCGCCACTTTGTCATGGAGGTGGCACCTGTCTCTTCATGAAGGGCCTCTGCACCAGGCTTGGAGGGGAACATACTATTCTCTTGGCCTGGACAGGTATGCTCTCCACCTCCTGCCCTGAGATCACCCCTCATGGGCAGTGTAAGCATCTGGCGTAGGAAGGCGTTCTGTGGCCGTGGTGACACACCACGGAGAAATCTTCTAGGTGGAAGTACATTCCCCGTTTATCACGCAGGAGAGGCCGAGGGTCCGGGGCTGAGAAAGCCTCAGCCTCTTGGTGAGCCTGGGGCTCAGCCGGACTGGATGAGATCTCGTAGCTTCCTATCTCCCTCCCAGGGGCACCACGAGAACAGGGGGGACCACAGAGCCACCCAATGTCCCTGCCCCGGCCCCGGCCAGCAGGAGCTGCTGCCCACCATTCACTCCAGATCCGGGTCTTTGGGGCAGGATCTGAAGGGATTGAATGATTTATTTGGATCAATACTGAAGCTTCGTTGATCATCTGGGTGTCACGCCGGCCCTGAAATACCTCTTTACATGGAGGGCCCTGGTCCCCGTCCCGATAAATCAGACATTAGCATTTCCACACAAAGGGGAACCCGGATTCTTTTAAATTTTTTTTTTTAATTTATGACAGTCACAGAGAGAGAGAGAGAGAGAGAGGCAGAGACACAGGCAGAAGGAGAAGCAGGCTCCATGCACCGGGAGCCCGACGTGGGACTCGATCCCGGGTCTCCAGGATCGCGCCCTGGGCCAAAGGCAGGTGCCAAACCGCTGCGCCACCCAGGGATCCCCGGAACCCGGATTCTAAAGTGACAAGCAGCTGCTCTGAGAGCACACGGCCAGAGGGGAGGAAAAGCACGTGGACGGTGGTCTGGGAGGTCATGAGCTCATAGGACTGAGGGTCAGCAACACTGGTTCTGATGATTCCCAAAAGGTGGCTCCTTTGCAGGAGTGGGGGGGTGATGACGAGGAGAAGTGGGGGAACGAAATTCAGCCCGGTGTCTGAGAACACTGACTAGGGACTGGGACTGTTTAGAAACCCCTCTGGCTGGTCCCAGGGAGTGAGTCCTCTGTCTCTGGACAAAAGCCACTGGGGACAGTGTTGGGGCCTGGACTCAGCTCCCCAAGTTCAGCCGTACGTTCCCAGTATGATGAAGCAGAGGTATCTCCCAATCCCCGGAGATAGAAAGGTGAGTGAGGTGAGCGAGGCATGGCCTGTCCCTGCCCTCCTCATGTCCGCAGACCACCAAGGAAGAATCTAAGCGCTGAAATAAAAGGTGGCTCAAGGTTCTGATGAAGAACGATGAGGGAAGTAGAGGCAGCCTTGGGGAGCTGGGAAGGCTTCCTTTAGAAAGGAGACATGGGAGGCCTCCATGGGACTTGGGAGGTTCCAAGTACCTCAGGAGCCCCGAGAGAGCAGCGAGCAGCGGCGGGTGTGTGTCCTGTTACGTCACGCCCCAGCCTCCAGCGCAGCACCTGCCAGGTAGTGGGTGTGAGTGAAGTGACGCGAATGAGAACCAGCCTGAGCGAAGACACAGTCACCGCCACGGATCACGGGCTCCAGGAGTGGTGACCCACCTCCTGTAAGGCTATGGGTAGAGCAGATGTTTCCTCCAACCAGGGTCGCCCCATCCAAGGAGCATGGGGTCCCAGGTGGTGTCATATGGCGCAGGGGATTCAATCAGCAGACATTTCCTCGGAGCCTACAATGTGTCAGGCGTGTGCAAGCTCCAGGAACATGGCAACGAACAGGGTCACAGCCCATAGCACCTGCCGTATCTGCCTTGTCCACCCACTGCACTGAAGTCCGCTCAGGTGTCCTGAGCACCTGGATCTGCCCCTCTCCCCTCCTTCCTGTGTCTTCTCTTGCTGGCTCTCCCCAGCAATAAAACCTCATCCACTATCCCTGCTCCTGCAGGGTCCCTCTTCTGTTCCCTGCTCCATCCAGCTTCCAAGGGACTTCCCAAGAACCCAAGCCAACCTGGTCACCATCACTTGGTTAGAGATATACCAAAACGGGGACACCTGGGGGGCTCAGCGGTTGAGCGTCTGCCTTTGGCTCAAGGCGTGATCCCAGAGTCCTGGGGTTAAGTCCCACGTCAGATTGCCCGCAGGGAGCCTGCTTTGCCCTCTGCCTGTGTCTCTGCCTCTCCGTCTCTCCTGAATAAATAAAATCTTAAAAAAAGAGAAATATACCAAAGTGTCAACTGTACTTATCTGTGGGGCTCTGGTGGGGGAGGAGGGACACGAGTGACCTCAGCACGGCCCCCTGCCTCCCATTCTTCCCCTGTCCCATTAAAGATCCCACACCCCAAACATGCAAACATCCGGGTAACTTTTGGGTGAGCACCTTTCGTCTTTCCTGTTTCAGTCCTGACAGCTCGCGGTTACCGGCATCATTATGGGGCGCGAAGTCAAGGGCTTTGTAAACCTTCTGTGCTTCTCCAGTTGATTTTAAAATCCACTTTTAGAGCAGGGAAGGTAGGACTCCGGTAAACTCATTCCTTTTACAGCAGCTGGAGACAGGAGTGAGGTGGTGAGTCACAGGGGACCCCAGTGAAGAAGGAAGCCCACGCATCACCACCAGGAGGACAAGGATTCTGAAGGAGCCCAGCTGGGAAGCCCAGGAGGCTGCCCGAGGTCACAGACCCACAGCTGCGATCTGACCCCCTGGGCTGGATCTGAGCCTGCCTCTGACCCCACCTGCCACTGCCTGACTCTAACTCCTGGGGGGCACCCACCCGAGCCCCATCCTTGCACTCACTCCTCCAGGCAAACCCTTCTCTGCAACCCCATTCCCCAGGCCGTCCAGGCCCCCAGCAGAGGCCCCAGCTCCCCCCAGAGCCACTGCCCCTGAGCGGAGCGGGTGGTCCACGACCCGCCGGAGGCCCCCCTGCAGTGCCCCCCTGAAGTGTCCCTCCCCGCTCCCAGGCTCCCCTCTTCCCCCTGTGCGCGGAAGCCCCCATCGCCACCCTGTCCTTGAGCCGTCGACCCCAAGCCGTCAAAAACCTCCCGCTGTCTCCTGTCTCCACGTTTGGCATCCCCGCGCCCCCCACCACTGCCCCTGGCGTCCCTGCGGTCCCGTGCCAGGTCCTTGGTCCCCTCCTGGGGCGTCCCCGCGCCCTGGTCCCGTCTCCTGGAGTCCCCAAGGTCCCGCGCACCCAGGAGTCTCCTCCGCTCCCCGCGCCCTGGCTCCTCGCCCCCCCCCCCCCCGTGCCCTGTCCTGGCTCTCCAGCCTCTGCATCCCCCCTCCCCGCTCCAGGGTGTCCCCGCGACCCTGCCCCTCGCCCCCGACCAGGGTGTCCCCGTCCCCACCCCCGTGCAGAGCCCCCCGCCCCCTCTGCCGAGTCCCCATCCCCCCTCCCCCGCCCGCTCGCCCCCCCCAGGGTGTCCCCATCCCCCCTCCCCCGCAGGGTGTCCCTGGCCCCGCCCCCGCCCCCCCAGGGTGTCCCCGTCCCCCAGCCTCCCGCTCCGCCCCCTCGGCCGAGCCCCCCCCGTCCCCCCGCCCCTCCGCCGAGCCCCCCCCGGTCCCCCCTCCCCGCTCCTCGGCCCAGCCCCCCCGGGTCTCCCCCCCGCCCCTCGGCCCAGCCCCCCCCCGGTCCCCCCCTCCCGGCCCCTCGGCCCAGCCCCCCCCGGGTCCCCCCCCCGCCCCTCTGCCCAGCCCCCCCCGGTCCCCCCCCGCCCCTCCGAGCCCCCCCCGGTCCCCCCCCCGCCCCTCCGCCGAGCCCCCCCCGGTCCCCCCCCCCCCGCCCCTCCGCCGAGCCCCGGGCCCGCTGACGCCATGACGCCGCGGCGGAGCGAGGGGCGGAGCGAGGGGCGGAGCGGCCGGGCGGCCCGAGGGGGGCGGGCGCGGCGGGCGCGGCGGCCCGGGGCGCGGATGGACATGGGCTCGCAGGGCTCGGGGCGCAGGCGGCCCCCCACCCGGGAGCGGCTGACGGCGGAGGACGACGCGCTGAACCAGATCGCGCGCGAGGTGGGCCCGGCGGGGGGTCGGGCGGTCGGGCGGTCGGGCGCTCTGTCGGTCTGTCCGTCCGGCGGGCGGCGGGCGGCGGGCGGCGGGCGGCGCGGTCCCGGCGGGAGGTCGGCGGGCGGGCACGGGTGCTCGGGCCGCGGGGACGGGCCTCGCCCAGGGCTCCCGGGCCGCCGTCCTCCTGGGGGCGCGGGAGGCGGGGGGGGGCGGGGTGCAGGGGTGGGGGGCGGGGGCGGGGGCGGGGGGTGCAGGGGGCGAGCGCCCGCTCTGTCGCCCGGGGAGGTGGCAGCCGACCCGGAGGGGGAGGGAGGAGGCCGGGGCCGCCCAGGCCACATGGCGCTCGCTGTCCACACGGCCTGGTTCCGTCCTGCCGCGGGTCGCCGACGGTCACGCAGGTGCAGCGGGGCCGTGAGCGGCGGGGCCGTGAGCTGCGGGGCCGCCGCGAGGCCGCCTCCTGCCGCTCAGTCGCCTTCCCCCGAGTTTCCCGGCCCCGCTGAAAGGCCGCGGGTGAACTCTCAGGGTCGCACCTTAAAGGAGCGCCGCGCGCGCATCCGTGCAAGTGCCTCCCCCAGGCCCCCGCCCTCTGGTGGAACAGCCGGTGACATGGGACAGTCGCACCTCGGGTCCGCGCAGGGGAAGCGGAGCCCAGTCCTTGAGTTTGCTCCAGGCCCTTTTGCACCTCCCCAGGCTCCAGTGCGCCCACCGCGTAGAGTGTATGAGCAGATGCGCCTCATCCCTCCTCTTGCGCTTCCTTCCAATCCCCGCAGGACGCGGCCCTAGTCTGAGTAGGCTGTTGGCACATGGAATAACTTCCAGACCATTCAGGCTGTGGGCTCTGGTTGCCTCCCTCGGCTGCTTGCTGAAGTCCACTCTATAACCCGTCCCTGGTGCTTTTCGTGGCAGATGCTTGATTTTGCTTTTATGGACATCCGGCTGTCAATCCGTGTGGTTTGAATATTGAAATGGGTAAAGACTTTGGTCCTCCTCTGTATGAAAAGGGAAAGGGCTTTCCAAGCAAACTCTTATACATCCCTGAAAACCCACTGTAGATTGGTGTCTCCCCGGAGACGGTCCCCATCACCCCAGGCAAGTCTCCCTCCCCGCCTCCACTTGGCTCCTTACACCTGGTGTGGGGGCCACCTCGCCTCAGCTGCATTTGTTCACCCTGTAGAGGGTGACGCCCAAGCAGGAGATACCTTACTCACTTGCCTGTCCCCAGAGCTCCGCACAGCCTCAGGCATGTGCTAGGTGCTCCTAGGCACGTTGCGTTATTAGACAAAAGAAGTACCAGGACTTAAAGTATATTTGGCTAAATAAAGACATTGGCTAAATGCGGTAGCTTGAATGTAATCCCCACCCCTATGAGGACAGTCACTCAGGTATGTGTTTGGAAACCAAACAAGTGTCCTCGGAAGGCCAGAGGTGACTGATGATCCCTGGGCCCTGTCTTTCCGTCGGTGCTTATGGACAAAGGAATGAGCAGTACGAGAGCTCCCGAGGTCTACCTCGAATCTGCTGGTGTGGGTTGGAAGGAAAGGCTAGGGATGCTCCCTGGGCTGACGTCCTCGAGGTCCCGAGGACCGGGACCCCGTGTCCCTGCCCACCAGCCAGGGAGATGCAGTTGGCAGTGACAGGTTCAGACTGGGGAGTCAGGGCTGGGCTGTGAAACTGCACACACCTCACAGAAGAGCTATGCGATCCTGGGGAAGTGAGTCACTCGGCCCCTCTCAGCGTCTGTTCTCATGTCTGTAGAGTGCGGGAAAGAAATCCCCCTTGGCGCTCAGTCGAGATTAAGGAAAATGACCAGCAGACATACGGTGACTAACAGGGTGAGTGTAAGCCCCACCCACCTGCCCTCCTGATCAAACCAACCACAGATTGGCTTGGTTCAGGTGTGAGTGGCAGGTATCTATAATGTTGCAGGTGCAACGTGTAATGTTTCACCACCGATTGAACGGTATTTCCCGACTGTAAAAATTAGAATCGCTGTTCAAATGGCAGGTGTCTTTTCACCGTCGAGTTCTTGAGTTCTTATAAAAATTAGCAAAGTTTTCTTGAGTTTAGTCCATTCCTATTCCCTCATTGACTCAGCGGATGCGTGCCCTGCTCTCTAAACACCTGTCCTGGGGGGACTAGGATCGGGGATGCACCTGAAGAGGATCTGCCCACGAAGAGTTGGGTGAGGACAGGTTCTGACCCCGAAGATCAGTAACAGTAGAAGATAGGAAGAGATCTGGTATTAAAAGGGCGTGGATATTGTGCCCGGAAAAGTTTGGAAGTGAGAGAGTTCCAGCTTATTGAGGGGCCTAGGAATGGCCCTGAGAGGCAGCTTCCTGGGGGGAAGTGGCATCTGGAGTTATTCTCGGTGACAGAAACGCTGACCTGGACTGGCGGCGATGTGTATCCACCAGGGGAAATACTTTGGCTGGAGCCAAAGATTCCTGGGCAGCCCCACCCGCGGCCCCTTCTCTCCATAGCACCTTGCAGCTGGCTCTGCTGCACCGTCCCCTTCAGGTGGCCTTGCCTTCAGGCTGACTGGTGGCCCTGCTCCCGCGCTGCCCCCCGGCGAGCCCAGGCCCAGGCTCTCTCCTGAGAGATGGAAGTATCTTCCCCGACAGATCTCCACGTGGCTCCCTGGCTACCCCCGAGCCAAACTGTGACCAGGACTGTTGACTCAATGGCCCACACCAGTCCCTGTGCTGGGGGTGGTGTGGGGTGGGGGGACTCCTCCCTCCTGCCACGCCCGTCCTGGAGATGGGGGAAGTTGGCTGCTGCCTCTGAAGCATTTGCAGGGGTGAGGGGACCTGAATGAACACTGGGGACCATTTTAGAGGGTGACAGGAGGGTGAGTGGACATGCGTCAGGGAACATGCCCTCTAGAGAGTAAACGGAGCATTCTGGGCTGAGGTTACAGGGAGGGCGGGGGGGAGCGGGGTCACCAGGCAGCAGGCAGAGCCAGCGGGCAGGGCTGGGGGGCTCAGCGGCCCCTGCGGAGGCCTCGGGAACCCTGGGCACCCGCCTGGAGCAGCGCCTGCCGCATGGAAGGTGACAGTTCCTATTTCTGCAGCTTGGTTGTGGGGCAGCCGAGGCAGGTGTATGGTAAGCGTACTTGGAACTTGAGAGCACCGTAGATGCCTTGGGAGCCCAGGTAGTTGGCTTCCGAGGTGGGATTCGGGCAAGACGTTGTCAGGAGGAAGGTCCTGTGGGCGCTGGGAGCTGCTCGCACCGCTGGAGGTGTGAGCAGGGGTTCTCACACCCTGGGGAAAGGGGCTTCCAAAGCACATCTGTTTTTCTCTCCTGCCGCGTTGAACATTCCACTCAAGGATTTTGGTAGCATCCTAAGCTCCCCTTCAGCTCTGTGCCGCCGAGGGGGGCGATTCTGTGCTCCCTGTGCCTGAGGCCACTCAGGGTGTCCCTCTCAAATGGAGAGTGGTGACAGTATTTATTTATTTTTTATTTATTTTTAAAGATTTATTTATTTATTTATGATAGACATAGAGAGAGGCAGAGACACAGGCAGAGGGAGAAGCAGGCTCCATGCCGGAAGCCCGACGTGGGACTCGATCCCGGGACCCCGGGATCGCGCCCTGGGCCAAAGGCAGGCGCTAAACTGCTGAGCCACCCAGGGATCCCCTGGCGACAGTATTTAAAAAATAATAATAATGATGACATGCGAGCTGCATTGGAAACTAGCTTGCGGGCCCTTTAAGCGCGGTGGGGAGTGAGGCACCCCCTGTCCACGTGCGTGGATTCCTGTGACTGTCCCCAGGGCCTCCTCTGCGCGCAGGTGGTGCCCACCCGGCTCCCTCCTGGTGGCGGGGCCGACTCCTGGTGCCCGCTGTCCACTGG